CGTGGCGGCTCCGGCCGCCTGTTGCGGGTCGCCCTGCGCCCTGCCGGGTGTCACCCTCTGCCGCGTTGTGTGTCACCTTGTTCTGTGTCACCTTGTGTGTCACCCTGCGCCCCATTGTGTGTCACCCCATTGTGTCCCCCCGTTGTGTGGCACCCCGTTATGTGTCCCCCCGTGCCCTGTTGTGTCACCCTGTACCCCGCTGTGTGTCACCCCATTGTGTCACCCCGTTATGTATCACCTTGCACCCCACTGTGTCACCCTGCATCCAATTGTGTCACCCGTTGTGTGTCCCCCCGCGCCCCGTTGTGTGTCACCCCATTATGTGTCACCCCGTGCCCTGCTGCGTCACCCTACACCCCATTGTGTCACCCTGCGCCCTGTTGTGTCCCCCCGCTGTGTGTCACCCCATTGTGTCACCCCATTATATGTCACCTCATTGTGTGTTACCCTGCACCCCGTTATGTGTCACCCTGTTGTGTCACCCCACACCCCGTTGTGTCACCCTGTTGTTTGTTACCCCGCTGTGTCCCCCTGTTATGTGTCACCCCGCGCCCTGTTGTGTCACCCTGCACCCCGTTGTGTCCCCCTGCTGTGTCCCCCCATGCCCTGTTGTGTCACGTCGTTATGTGTCACCCTGTTATGTGTCACCCTGTTGTGTGTCACCCCGCACCCCATTGTGTCACCCCGTTGTTTGTCACCTCATTGTGTCACCCCATTGTGTCACCCTGCTGTGTGTCCCCCATTGTGTGTCACCGCGTTGTGTCCCCCCATGCCCTGTTGTGTCACCCCATTATGTGTCACCCTGTAGTGTGTCACCCCGCGCCCCATTGTGTCACCCCATTGTGTCACCCTGTTGTGTGTCACCCCGCACCCCATTGTTTGTCACCCCACTGTGTCACCCCGTTATGTGTCCCCTCATGCCCTGTTGTGTGTCCCCCCTTATGTGTCACCCTGTAGTGTATCACCCCCTTATGTGCCCCGTTGTGTGTCACCCCATTGTGTCACCCCGCGCCCCGTTGTGTCACCCTGTTGTCACCCTGCTGTGTCCCCCCATTGTGTCACCCTGTTATGTGTCCCCGCGCCCTGTTGTGTCCCCCCTGTAGTGTGTCACCCTGTAGTGTGTTACCCCGTTATGTCACCCCATTGTGTCACCCCGCACCCCATTGTGTTACCCCATTGTTTGTCACCCTGCTGTGTCCCCCCATTGTGTCACCCCATTATGTGTCACCCTGTTGTGTGTCACCCTGCACCCCGTTGTGTGTCACCCCATTGTGTGTCACCCTGTGCCCCATTGTGTCACCCTGTTGTTTGTCACCCCGTTGTGTCCCCTCGGTGTGTGTCACCCTGTTATGTGTCACCCTGTGCCCTGCCGTGTGTCACCCTGTGCCCCATTGTGTCACCCCGTTGTGTGTCACCCCATTGTGTCACCCCATTGTGTGTCACCCTGTGCCCCGCTGTGTGTCACCCCGTTATGTGTCACCCCATTGTGTTTCACCCCATTGTGTCACCCCATTGTGTCACCCTGCACCCCGTTATGTGTCACCCCATTGTGTGTCACCGTGCCCTGCTGTGTGTCACCCTGTGTCACCCCATTGTGTCACCCTGTGTGTCACCCCACACCCCGCTGTGTGTCACCCTGTTGTGTCACCCTGTTATGTGTCACCCCATTGTGTGTCACCCTGTGCCCCATTGTGTCACCCCGTTGTTTGTCACCCCATTGTGCCACCCCGCTGTGTCCCCCGTTATGTGTCACCCTGTAGTGTGTCACCCCGTTATGTCACCCCATTGTGTGTCACCCTGCGCCTCATTGTGTGTTACCCCATTATGTGTCGCCCTGTTGTGTGTCACCCTGCACCCTGTTATGTCACCCCAGTGTGTGTCACCATGCCCTGTTGTGTGTCACCCTGTTGTGTGTCACCCCATTGTGTGTCACCCTGTGCCCCGTTATGTGTCACCCCATTGTGTGTCACCCCATTGTGTGTCACCCTGCGCCCCGTTGTTTGTCACCCCGTTGTGTCCCCTCGGTGTGTGTCACCCCATTGTGTGTGTCACCCTGTGCCCCATAGTGTCACCCTGTTGTGTCACCCCATTGTGTGTCACCCTGTGCCCCGTTGTGTCACCCCGTTGTTTGTCACCCCGTTGTGTCCCCTCAGTGTGTGTCACCCCATTGTGTGTGTCACCCTGTGCCCCATTGTGTCACCCTGTTGTGTCCCCCCGTTATGTGTCACCCCATTGTGTGTCACCGTGCCCTGCTGTGTGTCACCCCATTGTGTGTCACCCCATTGTGTGTGTCACCTTGTGCCCCGTTGTGTGTCACTCCATTGTGTGTCACCCTGTTATGTGTCACCCCATTGTGTGTCACCTTGTGCCCCATTATGTGTCACCCCATTGTGTCACCCTGTTGTGTGTCACCCTGCACCCCATTGTGTGTCACCCCATTGTGTGTCACCCCGTTATGTGTCACCCCGTTATGTGTCACCCCATTGTGTGTCCCCCCATTATGTGTCACCCCATTGTGTGTCACCGTGCCCTGCTGTGTGTCCCCCCGTTACGTGTCCCCCCGTTGTTTGTCACCCCGTTACGTCCCCCGGCGGCCGGGCCGCCCCCGACCCCCCGTTCCGCCTGTTCCAGGTGCTCCTGGGTGTCTTCTTCCAGGCACACTCGGCCGTGCTCATCGAGGACGTCCCCTTCACCGACGACGACTTCAGCGAGTGCGCGCTTTGGGGCGGAAACGCCCCGCTTTGGGCAAAACCTCCTCTCTGGGGAAAAAAATCTCTATTTTTGGGAAAAAAACCTCTTGTTTGGGGGAAAAAAAAACTCATTTCGCTTTGGGGCAAAATCAAGGGGTTTTGGGGCAGGGAAAGGAGGGGGTTTGGGGACGGGAAAAGCAGGATGGGGATTTTGGGGGGGCGGTTGAACCCCATTTTTTCTCCTGTTTTGGGGGGGTTCCCTGTTTTTTGGGGGGTTTTCCCTGTTTTTTGGGTGTTTCTCTGTTTTGGGGGGCTTTCCCTTTTTCGGAGGGTGTTTTCCTGTTTTTTTGGGGAGGTTCCCTCTTTTTGGGGGTTTCCCTGTTTTGGGGGGGGGTTTCCCTGTTTTTGGGGAGCATTTCCCTGTTTTTCTGGTGGGATTTCCCTGTTTTTTGGGGGGAGCTTCCCTGTTTTCTGGGGGTTTTCCCTGTTTTTTGAGGAAGTTTCCCTGTTTTGGGGGGCACTTCCCTGTTTTCTGGGGGATTCCTTGTTTTTTGGGGGAGTTTTCCCTGTTTTGGGGGGCTTTCCCTGTTTTTTAGGGGAACTTCCCTGTTTTGGGGGTGCTTTCCTTGTTTTGGGGGGGATTTCCTGTGTTTTCAGGGGATTTCCCTCTTTTTGGGGGGAGTTCCCTGTTTTTGTTGGCCCTTCCCTGTTTTTTGGAGGGTTTCCCCTGTTTTTTGGGGGGTTTCCCTGTGTTTTGGGGTGCAGGTGACAGGGATGACGTCGCTCCCCGTTTCTGGGGGGCCCGGATCGACCCCCCCCCCATTTCGGGGCACCTTCTCCCCTTGTTTCGGGGTGACGGTGGCACCGGGGAACCCCCTTTCCGCTACAGCCGGAGCGTCCCCCGCGTCCCCCCTCCTCTGTTTGGCTGACTGTTGCTTGGCTGTTTGACTGTTCTTTGGCTGTCTGGCTGTTCTTTGGCTGTTTGGCTGTTTGACTGTTGTTTGGCTGTTGCTTGGCTGTTTGATTGTTGTTTGGCTGTTTGACTGTTCGGCTGTTGTTTTGCTGTTGCTTGGCTGTGTGACTGTTTGGCTGTCTGGCTGTTGTTCGGCTGCTGTTTGGCTATTGTGTGGCTGTTGTTCGGCTGTTGTCTGGCTCTTATCTGGCTCTTTGGCTGTTGTTTGGCTGTTGTTTGG